ACCCCGCTGCGCTCACTCTTGATGCGATGTTTGGTAAAAGAACTGCAGGACAGACTGCAGACCTTCACACAGACCAAAGAACTTCAGACGAAGGCCCAGGACACGGGACTCTACAAGGAGGGACAGTGGACCATGTTGCGTTGGGACCCAGACCTGCAGAAAATGGTGCCGGACCAGTTTCGAGCCAAGGTCACTACCGAACAGACGCTCCAGCTTCTTCAAGGCCTACACGAGTGCCTCGAGGACCCCACTCTTGTCCTTCGCTTTCACTCCCTGCGGAAATGGGAAATCGTGCAGAAGCAACGCAAGACAGTGATGCTCTTAGAAGTGAGCCTTCGAAAGAGCCTGGTTCACAGCCACCTTTTGGGTCTCTGCGGACATCCAGCTCTCACTATGATCGACGCGGCCCTGAAGCCGGAGGGCCTACGCCGCAGCCCGATGGCGCAGCGCCTCTCCAAAATGGTGGCACAGTACGAGCAAGAAATGGGCCTGATGGACCGTCGCTGGTGAGGGACACGCCGCCTGACTCAATTCCCCTATTTCAAGCGTACCCGACGCTCCAGATCCCCTTGCATAACCCCCATAATCTTTGTTACTTGAACAGTGTCACACTGGCCAGCCTATGGACTAGCCGAGCTCATGTTACGCCTCAGCAACAGCCACTATGGGAGGTTTGCAACTCCCTAGTTGCTCAGTCCCACCCCTGTAAGCTTGCGCTAGTAATACGACCACTGTTAAGATACTGGAAACACATCCGCTCACAACATGATGCCGCTGAGTTCTATGCCTTCCTGGCACCGCAGCTGCTGGCCACTCTATGCGAAGGGGATTGGCAGGCGCGTCGTCACGCGCTGCCACATGCAGAAGTCACTGATCTCGGAAGCACTGTGCAGCCCGTCAGTTTGTACCCATCACTGACTGAGACTACCTTGCAGGCTCTTGTCAACAAGTGGCACACTCAGGCACACCGACATGCTTTGCGTAAGGCCCCTGAAATACTTGCCCTGCGCATTCCCAAATTCACGAGGCCGGGACACCCAGCTGCCCTTGCTGTCAGGTATGATCTGCTAAACACAGAGTGCGTCCAGATGCCGTGCTACACTCGGTCCGACTGCACCATTGGGCTGGTATCGTACGAGCTCACAGCATGCGTGTTGCATGTTGGCGACACACCCAGGGCGGGACACTACACCACTCTTCTGAGAGTGGGCCAAGGGGAGTGGCAGCTGCATGATGACGCCCGAGACATTATCATATGCACCCAGCAGCGGGCCAGTCAACTTGCTGGCGAGCAAGGCTATGTCATCCTGCTTCGCAAGGCGTCATCATAAGAGCTGCCTCAACAAGGGGAATAAGGAGTAGGGGATCTGATCCAAACAATGCGCTGGGTGACGAGCGGTTGTCCTCCGCGGTCCGACAGGCTGAAAACAGGGTGTGTTTTGCCAATTTCTGCCGATGCAGTGCCTTGACAATCGTGCCTCTCAGACTGACAGCTGCAGCATTGTCACAGTATCACTCCCCCCACTTGGCAGGACGCAGGAGATGCTTTTCTTTTCCACAGAATGCTTGTGAGCACGTCTACACCGAGGTTGCCCTCCTTGTGTGTTATACGTGCCAGCGACACCACTCTAGGCCCCGAGGGGTAAGAGCTTGTACAGTTTTCCATTCCTCTCTCACTCCTCTTCTCTTCTCACTTGTTTCACATGGTGCCCCACAGTCACCGGGCTTGCGGGCTGTTTCTGTGTACACTGCTCCTTAGAGGAGCCGTCCTATTTGTAGGATGTAGCGCACGCAAAGTTAGCTGTACCTCGAAGCTGGCTGCGTCTCAAAGTCAAAGTCAACCGCAAAGCCAAATGCAGGCGGCCGCGGCGGTCATCGCGCGGCTCCCGGAGCTCAATGCGGACGAAGTTGCCAGGGCCTTGGTTGAACCGACTGGTTTGGGGGATTAGGGTTTAGCCGGGTTTAGGGGGGCTTAGGGTTGAAACTAGGGACTTGGTACGTTTTGTTTCTATCCACCCCAGCTAACCCCTCGCACGGGACTATGTCGGTGGTTGAGGGGTGTAAGGGCTTCAGGGACTTAGGGCTAAAAATTGAAGGCCTCGAGGGGTCTAGACGAGGGACTGCTGGGGCCCAACCAAAGCCCGAAGCCAACAACCCTCAGCCTCCGTCGCTGCACCCTAAGCCCCAGACCCTAAAGCCCCCCCGTTGCTTAGTTCGAGAGCCCTTCTTGATGTCTAACTGCGGGGATGGTTGAAAAGGCCAAGTATGCAAAGTGCCTTGGGCCCTGGGGGGTTGTCGGGAGGCCGTTCTCCTGGCGGGTGCCGTGTTCCTGCTGGCCCCTGGCGGCGGCGTCCCAGTGCCCATCGTGGGATGGGTTGAGATGCTCGAGCTGGGCTATGGGTTTGGGGGGGGGTTTTCTTGGCCTGTCCCCACAGCATCCCGAAGATTCTGAACCTCAATGAGCCCCAAGCACCCTGAGCACCCTAAAGGTGCTTGCGGCGCTTCAGAAGCTGGGCAAATCCATGCGTCGCTCGGCGACCGTCGTCCCAAGAAAGGGCCCTTTCTGGGGTTTTTTGAGGATCCGAACATGTTCGGGTGTGTATCAACTCCCTCAAGCTACGATACCGGTGCCATGCAAGCCCCAATGCAGAGACTGTCATCCGGCTTCGTGGTCGCCCAAGAAACGGCCGTGAATCATGGCATCATTCTATGGGAAACGGCCCTAACGCCCCCAAAACCCAAAACCCTACACCCCAAACCCAAATTTCGAATCCCCTCTCTTCCCCTGGCCCCCATCCTATTTATCAGCTGCCCGGACAATTATCTTTGGTATTGTGTTTGTGTTAGTGTTAGTCTTTATGCTGGTGTTTGTACTTGGGTTTGGGTTGGTAGTAGAAGCTGGTGTAAAGCTGTGTCTGTCACAGCACTGGGATTGTCATTTAAACTTTGATCTGAGATTGGACCACTGACGCTCGGAAGGATACAGCCGTCTGTTGCGGGTGCTCTGCTACTGCTCCACAGAGCCTTGGACCACAACTGTTTGGACATTTTGGATACTTTAGGGTTTAGAGGTATCCGGTTGCTTCACACCTCGCTGGTTGAGGGTCAAACGACCACATGACTCCGCGGTAGGGTTCTTGGGAATCATGGGGCCGTGGGAGCTTGGGAAGTATGGTAAGTGGGACAGTGGGAACTGAAGAGGACGCTGAGGAGAGGCTTGGGTTGCTTCGCACCCTGAACTCCCCGAACCCTTCTCCCGCTTTGAGGTACTTCCATCTCCTACGCCGGGCTGCTTCGCCCCCCGGCCACTGCTTTGGTGTACCAGCCCTGTCTGCACTCCGGTTCACCTTGGCCCCCCCTCCCCTCGCCCCTGCAAGCACAGCCTTTCTTGGAGCTCCAAAACAATCAGAGAGGTCTCAGAGTTGGCTGCCCCTTGGGTTTCGGGTTTAGGGTTGTAGGGTTTAGGCTTTAGGGTTTGCTGATGGAAAGAAGTTGAGGTCAATCGCTATGACGAGTCCTACTCCGTGCAGGAACATTGGCAAGAAGCAGTGCGCCATTTGCGATCTGGTGGCATGGCGCTGGAAGAATTGTAGCTCGTGATTTGAATGGCAAAAAGTGACAGCCACAATGAAAATCACATGGGTATCAAATTGAAGAGGCAGTATCATCAATGCTCTTCTTCTAGGGCTCCAGTCGTTTCTATAGTGCGATATCGGGTGCCGGACTGCAACTCCGTCTGCAAGCACCCATGAAGCTTCAAATAAGCTCAGCTGCCAACCTTGGATTCAATCTAAACCGCAATCATTGACTCAAAGCCTTGACTCCTATATATATATATGTATATATATATACATATATATATACATATATATATACACACACACGCATGTATATATATATATATACACATGTATCTCTATCTATATCTATATCTCTATCTATATTTATATCTATATCTATCTATATATGTATATATATATATATATGTAGGTTGTGTGACCTTGCGCAACGCCTCAAGTCCTAATCCCAAACCTTACAAAGAGAGCCGCTGCAGAGGCGGCGGATGCAACGATCTCGCCTCCAGACCTGAACACTGGTGATCAGTTCACTGGCTTGGATTTGTTAACGGTGTAGTTTTAAGGAGTTTTTAGGGATAAGTTGCTTATTGAGAGTGTGAGTCTTACCTCTCTGTCGGAAGGCACGCAAGCTTGTCAACGCATGCATGCCTTTCGATATTTGCAGTGAATGTACTGTTCGGTTGCCGCCCTCTACGTCTTTCGGGATCCTAATATCCCGTACTCCCCCTTTCTAAGCCTTACCTCGAGAATGATGTCCCCTACTTGAAGATCTGAAGTGTTCAGAGGTCGGGCTCTTCCAGCTGCCAGACTCCTTAATCAAAGCCCTACAGCCAGGGTCAGTGCAGAGATCAGAGATGTATAGAGATGTCTGCGTGTCAGGCATCGGAAGTTGGGTTGGGGAGGGGGTTTGGGGTTCTTTGGCTTTGCTGAGGTGTTCTCAGGGCATGGCACTGTGCTCGCCTTCTGCGCGCTGCTTCACGCGGTGCCGTGGCACCGGGTAGGTCAGTTGTAGGCTTAGCGTGTTCGTTCAGTTCACAAGAAAACACGAGCCCTAAACTCTACACGCCCGAAATCCTTAAGACCCCACAAGCACTAACCCCTAAGCCTGTCATGGGTAGATTTGATCATAAGGCGCCCGAAGAGGCAACCAGTTGCCGTTCTTCCTGATCTTCATCTATTACTCCGACCCTTCTTGAGTAAGGGAGGGGGTAGTTTGGGAGTGTAGGATCCAGTCGTGATTTCAGCCCTGGGCGGGGATTCATTGGGGGATGGGGGATGGAGAATTGCTGACTTAAAGTCTAAGAGGGTGGGGAACAGTCTCGAAGCACCACACACAAGCCCCTTCCAAAAGTAAAGTAAAGACCCAAACCCCGCTCCGCTTAAACCCCGACCCCCGAGTAGCCTAAGGAGCTTGGCGCTCCAATGTGGTTGCAGCTCTTTCTCTGGGGTCCCCGGGCCGAATCTGGGAGTTCGGCTTCGGGGTTCGGCTTCGTGTTCTTAAGAGGTTTTAGCGGGCTGATTCCGCAAGCAGTGTGTCAACGCTAAAGCGTCATCGCTGTTTGCTTTCAAATCCCAACCTTTGGGTCTAGAAGTGTCGGAAGTGTCCCAGCTTGGGAGTAGCTTCGTATCAACTCTTGCCCTGTGAATGCTCCTACTCGGGGAGGGATAAACATCAGAATAGCCAAAAACCCGAAGACAAACGATAAATTCAGCAGATGGCAAACGATGGCATCAGCAACGTTGAAAAAACACTACGGAGACGTTAAAGTAATGCTCGCCACAATTAGAGTTTTTTTTATCACCCTTCGGCTCTTCCAGGCCGAGTTGGCCATGCCTGCATCCGCATCGCCCGGGGCCTCAAAAGGGGTCCGCCAGAGCAGAAAGGCGCTGTTGGCAGCCTGTCACACTATGCATGGAAATCTCGGAGGCCTCCCCAAGAAGCCTAAGCTTTGAGAGCTGAGAGCAAAGCCCTGCTCCTCGGAGCTTGGCGCAGCTTTGTGGGGCGACGCGGGAGGGGTCGGCTTTTCGAGTCTGGGGACAACCCTTGTCCAAACGACCCAAAAAAGCTCCCTCTACTGAACCCGTACTCGTAGCCTATCTCAGGTCCAGAGCCAGAGCCACTTCTCCGTGGACTTAGTCGTCGCTCTCATCTTCGCCACTCTGCTTTGGCGTCTTGGTCGCAGCAGCACCGTGGAATCCCTTCTTCCTGGAGCGTTACGTGCGGGTTGAGGGTTACCTGGCCAGGACACCCTGAGTCTCAGGGCCGTAGGCCTTTGCCCTCCTTCTGCGTCACGTGCCCGCGTGCGGGAGCTCACGGCAATGGAGTGTTGTTTTTGGCTTGTCGTGGGCGCCTACTTTCAATAGGATCACGTCAGGAATCGGCGGCCAAAGTGCTGCTGGGGGTTGTTCCAGAGATGGGGTGGGATGCTCTTCAGGGCCCCCGGCAGCGACGTTGAGGCTGTGCCGTGTCATCCAGCCTCAGGAATGTGTTGGAGATGCCGAGGGCCAAGCCGAAGGAGGCACAGGGCTCAAACACCTGCCCTTTCCTCGTAACCCCCCAAGGCCCTAAAGCCCTACAAGCCCTCAGCTCAATTTCGGGTTTGGGGGTGAGGGTCCGGCTCCACTTCGCCACGCAGAGGAGCCCAGGTCCGGACTTGCATGACTCAAGTGACCAACTCCTCCCAGCTCCAGCCTGCGCCTATTCTTCCCGACCTCCGTGTTACTTCGTCCGGGGCTCTGATCTTGAGACCTAAGAGCCCTGAAACTTCCTTCAGCGACTCCAGGCCTCCCGCCTGCCAAAGCCGTGGGTGCGAGGCGAGCTTCTGGGCAAGGGCCTCAGGGGGGGGGAGGGGGGGGGGGGGGGGGGGGGGGGGGGGGGGCGGGGGTCGAACAACGAGAGGGCCTAAGAAGAGGTCACTTAGTCGACCTTCCTTGAGGGCTACTGGAGGTCCCGCTTCAGGGCTCAACCCTAAACTCCGTCAGGGCGGCTCGAGGTTTCAGAGCTTTTCGAGCTGTTAGGGATCAAAGTTCCGAATGCAGGATGTAGCCCCAGGCCTTAAAAACACGGTGAGCGGCATACCCTAAGCAACAATAAGCCACGAACCCCCTTTGTCAGTTCCATCCTGCTCTGCTCCACCCTGAATCAAAACCCTAAACCCTGAACCCTCAACCCTCAACCCTAAACCCTAAACCCTAACCCCAAGCCATCCCCGAAACCCGAGAGACCTGGACAAAGCCCGAAAAAGCCGAGTTTGGAGCTCCGGGCTGATTGCGTCCCTGGCAGCAGCTTGGCCTGGCCTGGGTTTAGGGTTGAGGGTTGAGGGGTGAGGGTTTAGGGTTTAGGGTTTAGGGTTGAGGGTTGAGGGTTTAGGGTTTAGGGTTTAGGGTTTAGGGTTTAGGGTTTAGGTGGAACGCGGACGCTTTGCTTCTTCTCACCTTTGTTCTTCTTCTTGTGGTCATAAACATGATGCAGTCTTCCCATTACATTGTACTATATAGTAAGAGTAAGGAAGCCCTCCAGCCCCTAGCCTCAAAGCGTCAAAGCATAAGCCACGAGCCAGAGACCCAGGTGCTAGCAGCATTGCTCACATCCTCTGCAGCGGGCCCGCTCAGTGAGGTGGGGATCGGGAACTGGGGTCGTTTGTGTTTCGAGTTTCGCTGCTTAGGGAATTCGAAGCCACCCTAAACCTTGAGGGTTGCAGTTTATGATCCTTGGCAGCTAAGTCGCTTTTACAAAGATGATGGGTGGGAGCCGAACAGCAGCCCTAAACTTTCCCTAAACCCGCGCACTCGACAAATAAAGCCAGCGAAGCGAATGCCATATGCCAAATGATTCAAAATGCACTGGTGTTATGGGGTCATTCGTTCCTTGAGAGCTTTACTGCGCCAATCGCAGGCGGTTTGCTCTTCTCGTGAACGTTTTGTGTTCCACTTGTACATGTAGACTCGTAGACTTTAAACCCTCCTGAAGCCACAGCCTTTTGTCGGCCTGAACCCTACGCGCGCGCACACACACACACACACACATGTGTGTGTATATATATATACACATACATGCATGCATGCATGCATGCATGCATGCATGCATACATACATACATACATACATACACATGCACATACACACATAGGCATGTAGCACATACATATACACATTTTTGTATATATATATATATATATATATATATATATACGCATGCGTATACATATACAATTTTATACACACGAACGCCTTATACAAACCCTTCTCGGTCCCTAGACCCTCTTCCAAGCCTTTGGTGGCCCTCAACCTTCCAGAGTCCGAGCCCGGCCCTGACAGGCCAACCGCAGCCGACTGAGAGAGGCGCCTTGGGGAGTTCCGGGGCTTTCGGGTTAGGGGGGCTTGGGGGTTCAGGAATTTGGGCTTTGGGCATGCGATTGGAGTTCGGGTGTAGGGTTTAGGGTTAGGGATTGGGGGGGTTTGGGGGGTTTAGGGATTAGGGGTTTCGGGGGTGAGGGGTTTAGGCGAGAAAGGGGGATTGGCGGCTTAGTGGGGCAGGGGAGTAGGCAGCGAGGAGATGGCCCCCCTCCCTTTCGTATTTCCCAGCACCCATCAGTATGATTGTCATCGTCCATGTGTGTAAACATGGGGTTGCGAAGTCTCAGTTGAAGACTGCAAGTAATATTTGAGAAGGAAGACCCATCAACGGGGCTCGGAATATCGATACACCCCCGACTTGCTGCAAGCTTCATGGATTGTTGCAGTTAGAGTCAGAGAGGACTTGGGGGTTACAGGAGTGAGGTGATGCTTTCGGTGCTTAAGGCGCGGGATTTTCAGCGCGATCCGAAGTCACGAGACCCAACTTGCCAACCCCCCTTCGCGCCTTGGAGGCTTCGAGGCTTAAATGCCTCAACCCTGGACCGTTTACCTGCAGACTCCAACACCATACACCAACCCTAAGCCCCCCAGAAGACGTTTGAGTCCTCAACCCATAAAACCCGATTATGAATTCGTTGTAAGCCCTACTATAAGGCTGATTTTAAAACCTAGAATATGGCCCCACAAGCTCCATAGACCAAATGACCCCCATAAACCCCTGCAAACCCCTTTAAACCCCTACAAGCCCCTCAGACCCTTACAAGCCCTAAACCCTAAACCCTAAACCCTAAACCCTAAACCCTAAACCCTAAACCCTAAACCCTAAACCCTAAACCCTAAACCCTAAACCCTAAACCCCCCCGCCTGCTGGGGCCCCCCGCCATGGCGCGCCGGGCCCTGGCAGAGTCTGGCCTCCTCGAGCCCCTGAGCTCGGAGGCCCTGGCGCAGTCCCTGGGTTCGGCATCAGCTCGCTCTCTCTCTCTCTCTCTCTCTCTCTCTCTCTCTCTCTCTCTCAATATAATAATCATTGCTTTAATGTTTTTTTAAAATGTCAGCGTTTGTTTGTTACTCGCAGTCAAGGCTTTGTTGCCCAAAAAAAGGCATGAGTTGGTATCGGGATTGTGGGGTAGAGGGTTGATGGTCATCGGGTTTAGGGTTTTAGGGTTAGGGTTTATGTACCTTTGGAGGTTGCATTCGGGTTCCTCAGGGCTCAGGGTTGGGAATATTAACCTCAATTACAGGCCCTGGGTCTCCGTGGCTTGGGGACTTCTGGCCGAAGCCCTAAGCCCTTAGAAGCTGAAGAGCCTCCCCCAAAAGTTGAACCCTGAACCATGCATTCGCAAACCCTGTGCCTTTATTGACCTCGTATTCGCACATCTGCGACCGCAGTATCAAGCAACCATCAGCTTTCCTTCCGGCCAAGTGGCACCAAGCATGTAATCAATAATTACCAACCGACATGCAAACAGGTGAATGCCGGATCGTGAAGTTTAATCCGTCGAGATCCCATCGGAAACCCACACCCTAAACCATTGATTTCTTGAAGCTCGTGTGCAGGTTCAAGCCCACTGCCTTAAGCCCCAATTCACATAGCTTGATGCGCTCTACAACCCGAGGTATTCTTACTTCGGTGAGCGCCTGGGCAGCAGACTCTGACTTTTTCATTCCTCTTGGTGGCTCAGGCTTCTGGTTTCTGCTTTGTTGCGTGCTCCCAATGCGAAAAGGCATCCTGAAACAGAACAGCTAGACGACATGTTGGAGAGAACCAGCGCAAGTGTGGAGTTCGAAGTGATAGGCAGGAAGGTAGATGCCATGACCATGGTACTTGTTTGTTCTTGAATAGCCGTAGGATAGCCCCAGCACTGTTGACACCGGCACGCATGGCCAATCCGTGAAAGTTTGTAGTGTTTGCAGTAACTGCTTTGTAGCTTCGACGGTATCGAACACTCTCGACGCCTAGATCGCCTGAACGCGTAAACCTAAATCTTGTTCCCGAACCGGAGAACTCTAACCCTGTACCCTAATCCGGAAGTCCGAAGAGTCCTCTCAACCTACCCAGGATTGTTTCCTTCGAGCCAGATGGCCCTGCTGAGTCTCCGAGCTGCTGGGAAGCCGCCGCCCTCTTCAGGCAGGTTGAATTCAGGATATCGGATGAACTTCGGGATTGATGTGTAGCGATACAGGTTTAGCTGGAAGGTTTAGGAATTCCAGGATTCGGGCTTCGGTTCGTCCCTGCAGCTTTCTTTACACCGCATGTACACAGGTTTTCGACGCCGATCTCCCTTGCCAATGTGATCTGGCGGCCATACTACTACGCGACGTGAGGCTTGACGTGCATTAAACTCTGAATTCTAAGCCCCAAATCCCAGGCCTTAAACCCCAAACCAGCATCAAGTTGCCACAGGGTCCTCTCTTGTCTGCTTCCTTTTCTCTAAACATGCACAGCCCGAGATGTTGAGGCAACAGCTGCGCAGGTTTGTGGGTTCAGAGATGGCCTCTATTGCTTGTAGCCTCGGCTAGAAACAGAGAAGCTGAAACAGGCCTTTGTACCGCAAGCCTGGAGAGCGTTTCGGGCATAGTGGTTCAGGGTTCAGGTTGTACCAGATACTTCTGCAATCAGGGAAACCCCATAGAAAAGGGCCCGAACCTGCAGACATCGCTAAGGTGAGGTCTCCCTTCCTGCACATCGGGAGTGGCAGGCATTAAGGGGTTTGAGGGGTTTGAGGGGTTTGAGGGGTTTAAGGGGTTTAAGGGGTCGCAGGTATTCACGGATTCAGGGTTTGTGGCCTGAGGCTTCAAATCACAAAAAAGAGTCTGCGGCCCAAGGGCCCTGAACGCAAGGAGGGAAGCCCTCTGCAAGGCTCCAAAGCTGGACCTCCGCTGCCCAAACCCTAAACCTTCAGCCCTCAGCCCTTGAGCCCTAAAACCCTACAAACCCCAAAGTTTACGGGTGCTAGGGTTTAGAGAACCCTGAGCCCCAAACCCCCAAAACCACCAACTCCCCCGTCTTTCTCCCCTTGCAGGTGCTGCCCCCTGCGCCCTGGGAGGCTGGGAGATGGTGACCCCTCAAGCAAGGTTTCGGAAGTAGGTTTAGATTTCGGGGATGAGCATTGTGGCGTTTAGGGTTTAAAGGTCATGGAATACGGTTCAGGGTTCGTGGTTTAGCGGTTCAAGGTTTGGGGCTTCAGCTGCCAAAGCTAGTGCCCTAAACCTTCAACAAGCCCTCCATCAACTCGAAAGCAGTCAAGGGCCAGTCGGTCACCCTGCAAGGGCGTCGAGGGGTTTAGGGTTTTCGGGTTTTTGGGCATCAGGTCCAAGGGCTCTACCCTGGTTCTTGGCTTAAATGCTCTCCATAGACATGCGGGGCGACAGGGCCACCCTCCACAAAGAAGCCCGAAGCCCCGTAAACGTCCCCCCCCCCCCCCCCCCCCACGAAGCATCCTGAAAAGGCCCCTAAAAGCGCCTCTTCTGTGAGAGGTCCCGTCCAACTTCGAGGCTGCCCCTTGGTCCGGCGAGCGCATGTGCAGCCCATCTGGACTTAGGGCTTCTTTCTGGGTGTTCCGGGTATTTGGGGTCTTTAGGGGTATGTAGGGTAGTTAGGGCATTCGGGGTATTTGGGGCTTTGGGACTTGGGGTCCAGGGTTTTGGGTTTAACCTTGTTGAGGGTTCTTGGGTTGGGGGTGCAGGATTCTGGGTGTTCAGGCCGCACGGAGGTCCAGGATGACCTTGACATTGGTCTGGCTCCGGAAGCTCCGGTCAATGAGCCGAGGCACCCAGTGCGCTTCACTTTCGGGCGCTTTCACCGCGAAGCGTGCCTATGCGCCTGGGAGCACCGTGGGGATGTTTTGGGGGAGGTGGCCGCGTTGGCCTCCGGGCTTATTCGTGGATGTTGTGGAGGCAATAGGCATTTCGCAAACACGTGTCGAGATAGATGTCCTGCCATTTCCGAAGCCCTTCGCTGGAGTCGATTTGGAACCATTAGCTGCTATGGGCCCCAAGCCCCATACAGCTCCATAAAGCCTTTCCCAACCCTATATAGCATCTTATAACCTTCTACAACCCTAAATAAACCCGTGGGTGATTTTTCTCAGCTATCCAGGGACGAAAGGAGGAAGCCGAAGACAGCCACATGGGCAAGCTCGTTAAATTGGATGAGGGTACCCAGAAGGGACGATGATTCAGATACCTGCCCAAATGGCGTACGAAACAGGAGGAACGCGTGACAAAAAGCCACCTTCACCACATTAACTCTCAGAAGCAGCCTTCGAAGGATCCAGGGCTGGGCAAGCCTTCTACAGCCCCAGGTGTTCAACCAACCCATCGAGCTGCACCTCGAGCAACGGCAGGCCGCACAGACAGCACAGAGCCCACCTTCCGAAGCCTGAATGGGGGGGGGGGGGGGGGGGGCCGAGGGTCTCCATGCTAGAGTGTCACTGGAGTGCCCGCCCCGAGAATCCTGCAGGGTATCCCATATGGTTCTGGAGCTCGCCCAGCTCGCAGAGTGCCGATCGAGCGCCAGAAAAGCCGCCCTGAGAGACTCCCGGAGAATCTCCCTGAAGTGTCCTAAACCCTAAACCCTAAACCCTAAGCCCTAAGCCCTAAACCCTAAACCCTAAACCCTAAACCCTAAACCCTAAACCCTAAACCCTAAACCCTAAACCCTAAAGCCCAGTGCCTTCTCTTGGGAGCGAGAAAGGTCGAGCCGCCCCCGCCAGCCGACCCCGTGCCGCCCAGCACCTGTGGCCTAACTATCAGAGGTGTATTTAGTGAGGAGTTCATCCTCCCAGAACGTGGTGGTCTTCGGGAGGGTGAGGTTGGATGATCCATTGAGTGCTTCGAGGCGCTTCTGCCCCTTCCAGGGAGAGAGGGAAGACACAAAGATCCCCCCCAACTTCCTGTGGAGCTTGCTGAGCTGCTTCGGTCTGTCCGGCAAGGCCTGAGTCCAAGAAACCCACAAATCTCCCCCCCAAGCCGCCCCGGGCAAG